CAAAGGCAAACACAAACCCAACCACAAGAAAGAAAGAAAGAAAGAAAGAAAGAAAGAAAGAAAGAAAGAAAGAAAGAAAGAAAGAAAGAAAGAAAAAGAAGAAAGAAAGGAATGAAAGAAAGAAAGAAAGAGAAGAAAGAAAGAAAGAAAGAAAGAAAGAAGAGAAAGAAAGAAAGAAAGAAAGAAAGAAAGAAAGAAAGAAAGAAAGAAAGAAAGAAAGGAAAGAAAGAAAGAAAGAAGAAAGAAAGAAAGAAAGAAAGAAAGAAAGAAAGAAAGAAAGAAAGAAAGAAAGAATGAAAGAAAGAAAGAAAGAAAAGAAAGAAAGAAAGAAAGAAAGAAAGAAAGAAAGAAAGAAAGAAAGAAAGAAAGAAAGAAAGAAAGAAAGAAAGAAAGAAAGAAAGAAAGAAAGAAAGAAAGAAAGAAAGAAAGAAAGAAAGAAAGAAAGAAAGAAAGAAAGAAAGAAAAGAAAGAAAGAAAGAAAGAAAGAAAGAAAGAAAGAAAGAAAATAGCGTCACAGTTACTGTTCCGTTTACCGCTCAAAAGAATATCTACTTTTGAGCGTTTTTCTAGCTTTTGTTAATCTTTCTTTTTAATTCACAGATTACACCTATAAATTATTCGAGCATGACTTAAATCAATTTAACAAAATTCAGGACGAAAACTACGTAACCTAATCTGCATCATAAACCATTTTGGTAAAAGACAGTATCGCGTCTTACAAAAGCATAACGCCGTTTATTGAAATCTTCAGACGAAGTAATTTCTATTTAACGAAATCCAAAGCAAAGAAACTTCGGAGTGTTTCCACGGGCGTGGACAATTACCGTACGGGCGTTAGTCAAACTAAGTGAAAAGAGATCAAGCACCGTAATACATTGCTTAACTAATATGGTTAGAAATCTAGTAAAAGAAAAAAAAATACCCTTTTGGAATTAGCATTCAGTAAAGCGGATACAATATAGTTCAGCTTTTTCTGTGTCATTGGCAAAAGACGGGTTAGTATGGACTTTTTGTAACCAGCCGTCTTTAATTTCCCCAGCTTTAGGTGGTATGAATAAGAGCTGGGTGGATTCAAAGAATCGAGTCCCAGGGTTTGACTTTGAGACTTTTGGGTTGTCAGTCAACGTTTACTTTGAGAGAAAAATGTATCGACACCAAAATAAAGGCGGAATAATTCGATAATAATAAATTTGGATCGTCCACCCTGAAACATATGTTCAGACAGGACTCTAGAACTTAGTGTTCTACAAACATAATTTATTATTAATACATTTATGGAAAGATCGTGGAACAGTTTTTATTTAAATTCTTGGTTTAAGCTCAGAAAACATGTGTATCAAAGGGCATAAGTGACTCCAGTATTAGTAAAAATGTAAAAGCATTATAAAGATTAAGTTGGGGGGAGGTATGTTTTAATGGTCTAATGCGTAATTTCAAAAATATAACAAAACGGAAGAATTTAAAATAAAAACTGTGTTTATAATATTTATTTAACTTTACCTCAACTACCTACTGCGTGGGTATCAGTGGTTTCGTTTTTTTATATGACATTATGTAGAGTGGATTCATGTAAGGTGTTTTATAATCTTGAAGTGTGCATATATGTGTGTGTGCGTGTGTGTGCGTGTGTGTGCATGCGTAACTCCTTTTTTTTGGAGGGGGGGGGGGACGGACACCAATGGAACATTTTACCGTTCAGATGTGTTCCAACAAGAACTCGCCTCACCGATCTATAACGGCAACAACGTTTTACAGCCTAGAGTACAGGCTAAACTCTCTAACCATGATTAGGTATCAAAAGGTCAGGAATAAGGGACCGCTCCGGTGCTAAATGTCTGCCGCGTTGGCTTTTCCATGTATTATGGAACTTCGCCGGCTTTGAATAGACACGGATTGATTTATATCCCTCGGAAGAGATCTTGAAAATAAAGAAAACTGGCATTGGAATTGTGTTTTTTTTAAATTATTATTAGTATTTTAACAAGGAGTTTAACATTCTAACTAAACATAGCTGTCCAATTGCAATAAAATATATTTGTAACGAAACATTTATGTTTGGTGCTCATGAAGTAAGTATATGTTAAAATGAATTAATCTTTTTTATGAATTAATTTGATGTGTAAATAGTGAATTATCCTCAATATAAATGTATAATTTTTTGTTAACTATAGATGACTATTTTTTATGTAATTAATAGTTTCTAATATTTTCAAAACCTGTTGCTAAAGTGAAAAAAAATGTTAGAAATCTGACAGAAAAATCACCCTAAAACTTTACTATACTAAACGTGGACTTAACTTGTTAGTTCTTTTTTAAATTTTTAAAATTCTACGAAACTTTTTCATTTTTAAATTTTACATTAGAAAAAGTTAATATTAAATTTCTTATTTGAAACAAAATTTTCAATACACATAAATTTACTGAATTGGATACATATAACACTATTTATGTGAAATATAGTATTTTCCGTCTTTAACTGGCAAATTTTCAAGATTCATTTTAATGTTTCTATGGAAACTAAATATACTAAATATTTAACCACACTTTTAAAGAAAAACGTAATCACTCTTTAAGCAAGAACAAATATTTCGACCATGTAACTGTTTTATTGCTTAATTAACATACAAAATATGTTGCTCTCTGCGTTTTAAATGCTGTCGTTCTATTTGTTGCTGAATAAATTAGACATTAAGTAATTTAAATTGTGTACAAATAAATAAATAAATTATGAACGGGGGGACGGGGGGGGGGGGGGGCTGAAATGTACCCAAGAAAAGTTAAAAAAGAGAAAAATTCTCAAATGGACACTTTTCCGAATGCGACAAATGCATGAAGGCCCAAAAAAAATGGCTAATTTAATATATTAATTTAGTAAACATTCTTAATAAATTTGAATTTGACATTTATATAATAATAATAAACATTTTTAAGGGCATATGGCCTTTCGGGCTTTTTCAAAAAAAAAAAGTTTATTAAAGGGTTACCCCATACACAATCCGTAAACTAATACAACCCAATTCTAAACTTAACATGGCGGCTAGTTAAAAAAAATAATCTTACATTAAACAGTATTAAACAGTAAAAAGCAAGATGACTTATTCTATTTTTTTTGTGAAGTTTTTTATCAAATCAGTGTAATGCATGTAGGTGCGACGGCGCACAAATAATATCCTGAAAGGCTCGTGTTTGATTCATGCACCTAAGTCTGTATGATGTCCCCTATCCCACCCAACCGGATTGGAAAGCAGTCCTCTGTGCATAGCACATCATATGCCCTATAGAACCGCCTACTCTGAAACTTAATAATTATGAAAAGTAACCTTTTGAGAATAAATGTCATAAGGCGGAATATTTTGTGACTCGATATTTCTATTTGAATAAATTTGTGGTAAAAATTATACTAAAATCACCGACATTGAAGGATTAATTTGGTCTCTCCTACAAAAGCTGTGAGCAAATTAGTAAATTTTTATTTTAGACCCAATCAAATATTGCACGTATTGCAACACACTACGACTCAGATTTAAAATTTAGGTTCCCAATTTTTCAGCAGTTTGTTTCCTTCATTTAAAAAAAAACTTAAAAACATCACCCAATTTTATCATGCGGAATTTAAATAGAACTGTATAACATATCTCCAGTAAAGTAAACATTCTATTCATTAAATAATCTTAAGTTATTTCTATTTCTATAATTATGATTTATGTTGATTTTTTTAGTACAACATCATGTAGGTCAACTGTGGTAAAAGTAAGTTGTTTTTTTGTTGTTTTTTTTTTGTCTCCATTAGTATAAAAATCCTCTTTAAATATAATATTTCATGCAGTTCCCTCCCTTACAAACAGCTCAAATAAAAGAATCTTTTTTCAGCCCGCCCCCCCCCCCCCCAACCGTTGCATTGAGTCTCCCAAATAATCTTTTTAAAAACACGCCCACGTCTTTACAAAAACTTTCTATGTTTACACTAAAATACACGACCTGTGGTCATCTTTCACTCCCTTGACCATTATTCCCGGAAGTGTCACTCTTTTTCTGAAACCCTTGGGCATTATTCTACGATCTCATGAAATATCGACGGGGGGGGGGGGGTGGCATCGAGACGAATAATGTTCATTTTCGACATACTGATTACATAAGGCGAAGGTCAATATGTTTTAAAATTGAAAATAATTACTTTTAGCTCTCTTGCTTAATTAATGGCATGCATTTTTTACAGTTGGATTACAAATTACAGTGCATCTAGAAGAGAAGCTATGGGTTGGAATCGTAACAATGTAAAGGTGCAGTAATTAGTTCAAAAAATACTTTTGTTATATTAAGGTATTCCTACGCTAGAAGCCACACCCGAACTGAAACTCTAATCTTCAATTTCTAAATTAACATTCTTCAAAAAGACTTTTCTTAATTTTCAGAGCTTTCTAACAACAAAAGTAGCCATGCATATATACAGATGCTGTAACAAATCATCCCTACGTTCTGCGCGACATTTAGTATTCCGGCTACCTCTGAAGCAGGTCAGACCAGGTAAAAACATATTTACCTTCACCTTAACATGCGTGACGGCCTTGATGCTGCTTTACAACCGGAACTACAACCGAAGGAATGGTCTGGACATGAACGAGTCAATGCAGGCGGACGTCTACTTCACACCAAAAGACAGTACAAACGAGGAGCAGACGTGCATCCACCCTCAGCTTCAAATCAACGATCCTATAATGAGAAAACTCGTTTCTTCGTTCCCTCCACAAAGATGCCCGGGACGAAAAAATTGGGTTACTGTGTCAGGCGGGAGTGTTCATTTTTCTGAAGAGCTTTTATCAAGTCAAGGGTCGTGTGATTATTTCCCTTTCGTCCGTGTTGGGGACTATAACGTAACTTTAGGAGACCCATTGAAGAACGGGTTTGAAGGCTTAAGCATTGTTATTTTAGGGTTCGATTCGATGTCTAGGATGTCGTGGCTCAGACGATTAAACAAAACCAGGAAGTATTTTTATGAGACGCTGGGAGCTGTGGAGCTAGAGGGTCACAATATTCTGGGGGACGGGACGACGGCGGTCATGTTCCCCATGCTGACTGGGAAGTTTGAGTGGGAACTTCCAGAGTGTAGGTGAGTGGTGGGAGTGGTGTGGAGGTGTGTGGTTAGTATCAGGGTGGGGTGGCGTGGAGGTGTGTGGTTGGTATCAGGGTGAGGTGGTGTGGAGATGTATGGTTGGTATCAGGGTAGGGTGGTGTGGAGGTGTGTGGTTAGACGGACACTAGTACCCGGATAATTATGTTCAACTTCTTAATAAAACTTATATTAGATTGCTGTACAAGCGCCCTTTGTTTATCGTGGGTAAGGTAAAGTGTTGGATTTTAGCATTTTCTTGTATACTACAAATACATACAGCAAAACGTAAAGCAGCAAAAGTAATTAATTGATAAAAAATTTCCAATCGTCGTTGTATTGTAATTTTTGTGCACTAATATTGCGTGTTTTATTTTTTTAAATAAAATAAATTTAAAAAAACATTATCAACAAATATCCCTTGCACGCACCGAAAATAGGAAAAAAATAATCTTGCTTTGTTAAATAAAAGCATTTGTATCTCATGAAATCTCGTACACATTTTAGCGACCAACGTTTTATTAGTAAATCTTTGAACCCGCGGTACCACTTGTTCGAACCGAGTCTTAAATCTCCGTGCCACGGCAGCCCGATGAATAGGTCTGAAACATCAGATCAACAGATGTCCATAAAAAATGCGAAATAAAAAAAAAAGTACATAGGCCTACTTTTCGACTTCTGGTAAATTCCTGTCATGGCTGCGCCCATAACTAATTTTATTTTGTCCTGTTTATCGTTTGCAATTTACGATAAAAAGACGATTTGAAAACTCAAACAATCGGCTTTCTACATGTGTCTATACAACTTTGTCTGAAATCAGAGTCTACCTGCTAGGATGACTGTCATACTAAGTAGAAATATTTTCGAAAATTCAAGTACAAATGTTCATTTAAATTAACTTTGTTGTTTTATACGTAGTCTTCATCTTTTTATCAGAGACACGGGGATTTTAGGGTCACGATCTAAGAGTTCATAAAGACAAAGGAAGCTAACTGTTTTTTTTTTTTTTTTTTTTTTTTTTACTGAATTTTAAAAAGCTTATTAATGAAGGTTTTTGTGTCGTTGTTATTTTTTCTAATTTTTAGAATTTATGAAATTTTAAAGATAGCCTACTTTATTGTTTTGTATTGTGTTCGTTCTTAAGGAAGCCGACAATATATACAACAAAAAAATATCAGTTGCGTGACTTGTCTAAAAGAAAATCATCTGGGCTTTTATAAGCCGTAGTCGGCTCTCGTGTATAGAATCAGCCATCCGTGATCACCAGTTCAATGCTGTTAACTGTTTCGTAATCTCGTTGTGCTTTTTGCTGTGTTTTATACTCTTGTAATAAAATGTTAATGATTAATTCAATATTACAATTTAGATCACAGGTTTCTTTTTTCTGCTGGCGACCTCTTTTTATATTGGGCAAGCCACTCGCGACCCGCATCCCTCAAAGAGTGAAAATAGCGGGAGTGATCTCCCCTAAACTTTTTCGTATATTCTTATGTAATTGTAGGGGGATGGCACTTGCAGGGCTATAGATATGGTTTTATTACATTTTTTAATATTAAATTTTTTAAACAGAATAGAATCGCTCATGAATAGAGCGAAAAAAATAGTACAATTAAAAGGAAACATTTATTAATTTTTTAAAACATTTTTTGAGAAATCGGAAGCAGTGTAAAGTACTAGTTCCAATCAACGGAAAACACTCAAACTTTGCGAGAAAACTGTGAATAAGAACAAATTCCTATGTTAGAAACTTCGTTTAGTTAACCGAAACAGTTCCCAAATAATGTGGTATTTTACTATTTTTAGAAACCAGAATTGCTACGATTACCGGAAATCGCTCAAAAGGTTAAAGAAAACTACAGATTCGACATAATATTTAAAAATGAAATTTGGTCAACTTAATTAAAACGGTTTATAATTTATCGTACTTAAGGGCACACACACACACACACACACACACACACACATACACACACACATATTCACTTACGTACAGGTTTGCAAAAGTAAAGGCACCGAAAGGTTGTAAAATGTCCTAATTTGTCGAAATCTCGATTTAGATTTCTTAACGAGTCCAATAAGACAAAGTAGGGAGGTGTAAAACGCGGAAAACTGTCAAAATTTAATATAAGTTTTATGCACGATTACAATTTTATATAAGGAACTACGGCCTGTGGTAAATTGTTTTTTACCCCCGGAGTTCGTTCTACGACCTCAGGAATAATCATAAAGTTTTGACGTGAGTTTACATATATATATATATATATATATATATATATATATATATATATATATATAAAGAGAGAGAGAGAGAGAGAGAGAGAGAGAGAGAGGGAGAGAGATTGTAAAAGGGGCTTGTCCGCCGCGGTCAGTTTTCGACCACTCGTCACGGTCTTTTTGGCCGACCAGCATTTCTACCCGTTCTACTCGCAAGACATGAAATTCTGTAACATTCTAAAGCGTTTGCGGCACCGGCAAGTTCCCTAATCAGCATCTGATCAATGAATTCGTACATTTGCGATATAGTCTCGCTATGCTGTTACTGTTTTTTTTTCTTGTATTGTTCACACCACGCAACCCTAATCAAAGATTGTTGGCTAAGACTCTAAGGCATTGATTGACACTAAAAAAAGAAAAAGAAATGTACTATGCGCGGTACGCCCAGGCTGTATTCAAGACTCCTGAATAGAATAATTGATATATTGACCATATCGTTAACGAACTCTTTGTTTCCGTCTCTTTCAGGCGTAACTTTCCAGGAGCCACAACTCTTGATGATTTCCCTTTTCTATGGCATGAAATGAAAAGAGCCGGCTACCTCACGTCATGGGCTAATGCGGCACCCCATTCAGCGCCCTTCAACTACCGCATGATGGGCTTCAAACAGCCACCCACCGATTTCTACACGCGGCCCTTTTACTTGATGGCGCAGAATATGAGCGGAAATTTAACCCAGGAGTGCTTTGGGTCTCAGTCGTTCAGTCAGGTCTGGTTCAACTATTTCATGGACATCTTTCAAGTCTACGGGGAACGGAGAAAATTTCTTTTCCATTTCCTGGTGGACATGAGTCACGATGATAATAATTTAATTACAAAGGTAAAGAACAAAAACAAAAACAGCAACTATAAACTATTTAATATCATGTAAAGAACGGAAACAGAATGAATTACCAAATCTTCAGAAATATCATTTTTATGTTCCAATCATTATGTATCAAGTGATGAGCTTACAGATATAGAAACATCTGAGCTCCATAAAAAAAAATTTCAAACGTCGAGAAAACAAAATTATAACTAATACGTAATGTTTAAACAGTTCAAGCCGTTTTACCTTCAGTCAAATAAGTATAAGTGATAATCGTTTTACTGGTCATTATTGAAAAACAAAATTTTTAAAGAACATTAAGATATTTATTAAACTTAAATTACGTGATTATTCTTGAAGATATATTTACTTAGAAAACTAACATTCATGAGAATAAAAAAAACCATCTCTAACTCGATATTTTCTCAACCTGCAATTATTTTAGAGTACTTATCTTTACATCTTTACGCAATACAAAGTCGTGGTGGGAGAGAATAAGGCTTCACAAAAGACGTACTTTATTGTTTTACTCTTGTCTTGCAGCTAGATGACGATTTGAAAGACACAGTCCAACAACTACACCTGGGCGGTCACCTGAACACGACTCTCCTGATCCTGATGGGCGACCACGGGGCAAGGTACAGTGAAGCCCGGGGCAGCTGGTCTGGCAAGCTGGAGGAGAGACTTCCATACGTGTCGCTGCTCTTCCCTGACTGGTTCCAGAAGAAATTTCCACAAGCCATGACAAACTTGCGCACCAATTCTAAGCGGTTAACGACGCCGTTTGACTTTCACGAGACTTTTAAAGACTTTTTAGAGTATGGGGGTTCTGGCAAGGGGGATAAACGTCAAAGGGGAATAAGTTTATTTAAGGAAATCCCGTTAGACAGATCGTGCGAGGATGCAGGGATAGCCCCGCACTGGTGCGCATGCCTGGCTTGGGACAAAGTCTCCGTGTCTGAGTTCGGCGTACAGCTAGCCCTTCAAGCAGTGATGGACAAAATTAACAAATTCACAGCGCCCTACAGAAGCAAGTGCGCTCTACTTTCTATCGCCAATGTAACGTCAGCCTCTAAGTTACAAACAAGGAAAGAGGTCCTCAAGTTTTCGCAGACGGACGCAGACGGGGGCATTTATAAAATTGATTTTACTTCGTCCCATAAAAGTGGTATCACTATTTATCAACTGACGTTTTTTACATTGCCGGGCGGCGGCCATTTTGAGGCGACCGTGACGCATGACGCCCTCAGGGAAGAGTTTATTCTGAACGAAAAAGAAATTAGCAGAATAAACAAGTATGGAGACGCCCCGGCTTGCATTTTAAATGAGAATCGACAGATAAGACAATATTGTTACTGCAAAACTAAGAAGTCGTCATCAGAATTATGATCCCAATACATATTTCACAAACACCTCAAATACATAATTAGTCCTTCAACAATGCGATAAGATACAAAATATCAAAGTATGAAATCAATAATTTTTATTATCGGAAAATCCGTCCATTGATAGCATCTCAATTAATTGTGATAACTGCATGTTTGTTTACAAATATGTACTTACTGTTTCAACAGTCGTATTGGATGTTAAACTTAGCTTATGCTTTAGTGAATAAAAATGAATGACTCAACATGCAAGAGAGGAGAAAGTAGACGAAGACGCACGCAGCATTTAACGAAATATTTTTACCCAACATATATTACCCCTTTTGTTTATAAGTGTGTTTTTGCAATTACACCAAACATTTAAGACATTTCTAATCGATACTATCTTTAAAACAGTTTATTTAGCAGGGATTTCATATAATTTAATTAGAACCCATCTCAGACAAGTATGTTTTTACCAGAAGTGAATAACGTTTATTCCTTCCTGATAATTTTTAATGATGTATTGAAATTTCCTGTTTAATACGCGTAGAAGTATAAATATGTTTTATGGTCATTTATTCAATGAAACATGGGGTTTTTTTAATTGAATTAAATAAATCTTAATCTATATGATTTTCAATCGAAAAACACATTTGAAAAACTTTTTATGAACAATTGAAATGTAATTTATTATGCTTGTAAATAAAATGAGTTTCTTAAATTAATAATCCTAGTTTTTTTTTTTTTAAAAGAAGCAACAGAAAACAACAAACTTGTCGCTTAAGCCTACATTGTATGTTTTTGGCTTATGTGGATGTAAAAAATAGTATGATTTTTAAATGAAATGATTAAAGGGGAAGCAACTATCTTTTGCTATTGTAATGTATTCATGCCTTTTTCATCCTTTTAATTTGATTTCACACTGTTTACGTAAGGCATAGTTTTTGTGCCTTATTATTTAAATACATAAATGCTATTGAAATGAACTATTGCATACAAATAAAAATGAATACTAAAATATATTCATTTATTTCATAAATAGCTTTGTCAAAACTTAAAAAAGGGGAAATTAGATATAAAATACACAGGGTGTTCTGCATTTAGCTAACACTCTAGACAGCAACTATTTCAATGTGTAGCTTATCAAGACTCTAATTGAATTATTAAACAGTTGTAAACTTTTGTTAAAATTAAAAAGGGATATATTTACAAAGAGTAAACTCCTCACAAAAACTAAAAAAAAAAACCCAATTCTCAAAATCGTTTTTTTTTAAGAATTTAAAGCTTTTTAAAAATGAAATCGTATTAGAATTTGTCTACAAATTAATTTTTTTTTTTTTACAGTTAAGGATACAAGCAAGATACGCATGTTTTTGATAAAAGTAAAATTTTGCTCTCAAAAGTGTTCATTTCTGAATTTAGTACTAACAACTTTTAACTATCTAACCCGAACTTTTCGGACTTCTACAGTCCACAGTTGGTTATCCTTTAACTGTGATGTGAAACAGGTAGCCTGCCCTCGTCAAATTTTCACACTACTACGGGGACAGTGGCTATTTTCGAGCACGTATTACACCTTTTATTGCCCGCTGGTGTAGTGACCTTTTCCTTTGTTCTAAAAAAAAGTGAGATAAACGTTTTATCTACAAATTTTAAACTACTGCTTTAGATTTTTTTAAAACTAAGCTTAAATAGTGCGTAATGAGCTTGTCTGTCACTACCCCTGCTCGCTAGTGAACCGTCAGCCAGATTATAATCTTTTTACATCATTGTGTGAGAGGCTCAAACTAGTGTATCAGACTTAGCATTGTACCTTAAACGGCACGTTTTTGTTTGTTTTTGTTTTCTTCGCTGCCTGTAGGATTTACTTGAATCTGATGTAAATTAAACTGTTGACTGGTGACATAGATTCCCCTACTTGGGTCCTGTATGGGGAACGTTATACTCTACCATTACTACACGGATGGAAAATAGAAAATTTCAATTTATGGCTCATCAGATCCTCACGCAAGTGGAGTGGAGGAGGGGAATTTTGTCTAGCCTAGCCTCAAGCGTTGAACACAGGATCGTCTATTTTTAGCGCAATTTCCATTCTGGAGAATTGCGTTTATTAACTCGTCATTTCTGGGAATGGATGGATGAATGAACTAATGGATGGATGGATGTGTGTCCGCAGCTTTAAGTCGTCTTTAAGTCGTATCTCCTCCTCAACGAAGCAATATCGAGGACTAGTTCCAAAAGCAAATATGTTAAGCAAGTTCCGAGGATGAACATAGGCCAAAAAAATTCCCGGGTTTCTTTCCTGGATTTCCGGGAAAAGCCAAAAAAACTCGAAAAAATGCAGTTTTTGGCCCATATCTCGGCAACCAGACCACTTAGCGACTTGAAACATTTACCAATCGATTTCTGCCATAATTTAGAACAATATTGCCGAAGAAAGTTTTCAAAAATATCCTTTCGTTCGGTCACAAAAAATTTTTTAAAAGCGCGACAACCAAACACCCCCTACACGTCCGCATTATTTAAAATTACATTATACATAATACATTACAGTACTATATAGCAAAGAAGGCAGTGGAAGGCGAAGGAAAGGAGGGTAAATCATGTGACCTGGCTGGCTTAGCAGCGAACTGCGCGAGACGCAGGCGAAGGAGGGAGAGCTATGATTTATCTCGATTTAAAATTGTTATGGATAATATAAGGAAATTGCGCTTAAATTGTCACTAGACTTTTTATTAACTTGTTTTTAATGTCAACAAACTCGTATGAGCTAAAGGTTTAATTAAGTAGCTATAGACATTATATCGATGTGATTAGACTAGCTAACAAACAGAACTTAATATCAGAATAACACTCGATGAATATGATATGTTTCTTTAAGAGTCATTAATTTGTAACCTGCTGTGTACATACCCCTGCTTGCATAGAAAAATCTAAAACTTAAACAGAAAACAACTTTTTTATGAGTCGAATGACATTTCCATATTATAAACCAAGACGTCTCTTACTGAAACTTTCTACATGCAGTAAGCATTATTCAACAATCTACATTGCTACAGCTCAACCTTAACTGCTGTAGGCGACGTTATATTTTTTTTTGGTATAGTTTTAAAACTAAAACCATATGGATTTGTTAACATAAAACATGTTCAACAATTTTCTTCTCTGATCAGTACCTGTTCGTCAAACATGTTACGCTTCCTTTTAATTAAACATCACATTTCAAACGGCCGGTCAGTCCATGGTGTGTGCAGTGTTTTAAAGTTCTATGTAGAGAACAGTAGAAATATTTTAGTAATCTTAGTAGTACGTTCACGTGTTAAGTGCTTCATGCCAGATTTAAGGGGAGGCTAGCATAATTCCCAGACATTGTTTCTTTTTACTGAGTTACGTTTCTTTGTACAAAAAAAACGCTGAACATACGAGAGAAAATAATAGTAGGCACAAGTGAGGCTATCGTGTTTTTATCATTAATGTTTTTAAAAAGACATTTGGTTTTTAAATTAGTAATTAGCTTATTATAATTAATAAATTGAATAAAAATTAATTTTAAAAAAATAGAATGAAACATAGTAACACTATTTAGTATTGTATTTTACATGCTGAGTAAACAGTCACGTATCACATTTTTTTTCGCCTCAGACATGTAATTTACAACCTCAGTTTGCCTTGCGTGTTCGCTTTAGTATTACAGTTTTCATCATCGGCTTGTGAGGACTGATACTGATAAAGATTTACAATAGTAGTAATACTTCTTTCTTACTTGTAGCCCACTTTCAATCATTTAAGATGGTTTACTCATATATAGATATAATACAAAACGTCTAATTACAATTTTATTTTTTTTTAAAACCTGAAAATGCAAATGTGTAATGATGATTCAATGGATTTTTTTCCTGAGGGCGCGTTGGGCTTTTAAGTAGAGCTGAAATAAATTTTGGGATTACAGAAAATTAAAATGATACACATTTTAAGCAACCGGAAAAGGTATGTTGATTACAATGATACACATCAAATTGTTTAAACGGCCAATGTGAAAAAAAGGCCTTGGTGCCTACAATTGTAACCGTTTTTTTAAAATAAATTTGAATAAATTTGAATTTGAATAAATTTGAAACATTCTTCCCTTTCAAACATCTAGAATATATATCTATAAAAGTCCTCAAACAGTTTTTATTATAATTATTTTTTATTAATTCAATTGTTTAAAAAATTTAAAATAGTAATAATAATTTATTTGATGGTTTTACACAGCATCAAAGACATGAACATCAATTTATATATAGTAATTAAACCGAAAAAATAAAATGGCATAAGAACTAGACTAAAATAAGGTGTGCAAACTAGGTTTCTCTTGACTGCTTAGTTTACTGTGCTCAGTCCATAGCTGCGGAGTCAAACGTTCACATTGTAGTCACCCATCGACAGAAATAGAAACGACCGTCAGAGAAGGGTCTCTGTAATACTCATACTGATCCATCATTCCAAAACTTTCAATGACACAAAATTGACCCTTGGCGATGAGGATATGCTGCCCTTGATTTATCTGTTACTCCGGTTAGTTGGGGGGTAGTGTGTGTGTGGGCTGGGGGTGAGGTGTGTATCTCTTTATACCATTCATATTGTGCTCTTATAAACCTGAGAAACATAAGTCTGTTCTAACGTTAATTTATTGGAGGGCTGATCGAGAAATGTTTGACTTGAGACTATCTTAATTAAAATTAATACTTTATTTATTGTTTTTCTATACATTATTTTATTTATTTATTTATTTATGTTAAGTGAGAGTTCCCAGTCCATGACTTAGCTTTGCTTGAAATATTTCTTTTAACTCGATGTCAGCGTATTTTATAAAATAAAATCTGAATTTCTTCCTTATGTCCCATATAGTCGATATATAAATAGCCGTTGCTACTAGTCTGTTTTCGTCTTCTGTTCTTTGTCTAGTCGTGTTAAAGAAGTTAAGTGTGATTGCTTTATTTGTTGTGGCTTTTTGATTGGTGTTTTTTTTATATTTTCGCAAGTTTTTGCTTTGCTTTCTGGCTGTACTAATATACAATCTAAATAAATGTGTTTCTCAGTTTCTTGTATATTTTGTTTACACGTTTGACATGTTATTTTAACATGTGGATTTGACTTTGTATTTCGTGAAACTGGTGTTGTATTAAAAATCAGTCTGTATGCTACTTCTCTTTCTTTCGATGTAATGCGTTTATTATGTAGGTTTCTAAACGTATTTTTAATGTCTCTAATATACAGGGTTTCTTAAAGACTTTTTTCTCCGGGGGAAGGGGGCAATTGATATTTTCGGAGGGGGGGGGGGGATCAAAATTTTCCGGTGGGGGGACACTGGTAAAAATAAATGTTTTCTATATAAATTCTATTTCGTTCGGCGGGGGGGGGGGGGGGCGTCAGACTTTCTCCGGGGGCCGCCCCCGCCCCCTCCCTTAAGAGATGCCTGGAAGAAACTCTGATTATACATGTTACAAAATGTTCGTGTGATACTTTCTGTTACAAAATAGTTTATGAGAGGATTTTTTTTTTATATATAAAGCATTGAAAAACGGAAGTGCTTATACTGTCTAAATGGTGAGGAAAAAAATAGAGTGCGAATTATTAACAGTCATCTATAATTAGTTTCTATTCATAGCAATACATAGGCATACATGTTTTTAGAATTTTATAAATTAATTTTTTTTTTAAATTTCAAACAGACTAATGCTTTTTTTTACGTTTGCTTCAAATACTGCTTTGCAGAATCGATGGTATCGCGTAGATTTTGGGTTGTGTATCTGTTAGAACTAGATTTATGGTTTGTTTTTTTTTTTAATGCAAATAACATTAATAACAATTTAACGCATCATATCATAGTTAGGGTTAGGATGAGGGTGAGTTTTAGGGTTGGGGTTAGGTTTAAAATTAGGCTTAGTCTAAGGAAAAAGTATCAATGAATTTAAGAATTGTGATTGCTTAATGAAAATATTGACCAAATATATAAGTATTTATAGTTTACTACCAACTTTTGTTTGATTTCCGCTAACAGGAAATGTTACGTAATCTGTTTTCGGTCTCTCAAAAGCTGATAACTTGATTACCAATTAAACTAGGTAGACAAAATTTCATATGTAAGTGTTAGAATGTATGTGAAGGTTCCTTTCAACCCTTGTCAGATTTCTGGCAACCGGAATTAGTATGTTGCTCTATTTCCTTGACAACTTGATTACTGTTTTAGTTAGGTACACAAAATTTCATATGTATGTGTAAGATTTTATTCTTGGATTTTTTGAGTGACCTTCGATATCCGCAAGTGGTAATAACTCAATTTCTGTTAGATTTTCGATAGATTAACGAATTGTTACATTTTTATTCTCTTTTCTCGATGTTTTACATGTCCCTGGGTAGGAAAAACTTAATTGTTAAATTTTGCCCATGTGTCTGTCTATCTGTTTGTATGTATGTAAACACGATAACTTAAATACTGTTTCAGGTAGGTTAACGAAATTTCATTCATAAGTTTCACATCAATTTTTTTTTTCTTTCCACTTTTGAGCAATTTCCGGTAACCGATATGACATTTTCTCAAATTTCGGTTCCTCCAAAGCCTATAATGTAAGTATTGTTTCAGTTAAGTAGACGTATGTGTAAATAGGTAAAACTTTTTTGATAAAGCAAGAAACAGGTGGAGGGTTTCAGTTCAGAAAGATGTCTTAGTGTATTTACTTACCTTTGTCGTAGTCCTTTTATCACGCATGAGACCTGATTCTCGTGTATTCTGTATGAATGTGAGCCACCTACATAAGCTGGACTTTAAGCAGGTGGATATTTTGAGTGAACAGGAACGTGTACAAGTGAAGTGTGCTTAAATAGGACTGTATATGTGTTACTCTATGTTTAGTTCTATATAAAAATAGCTGCAGGCCAAATGTTCCGTATCATCACAGCAGGTTGTTTTCTATGTTGTTATCTAGTTGGTAATCTATTGGTCGCTTGAACGTTCATCGATCATTTTGGGATTAGCATTAGGCTATTTTAAGATAGCTATTGAAGATAGTTAAAACATTATTATTATTATATATTTCTTTTTATTCTCCCATTTTATTTCTTCAGGTCTATCTTTATGGTGAATGTTAGTTATATTTATATTCATCTTACTAATGGGCTGATGAAGTTATTTACACGTTTACAACACGTCAACAACATTTAATGTCTTAAGTTGAAACGGTCTCTTTTGTTTTGTTTTATGATTTGGGTAGGAAGATGTTCGTCATTTTAAGCGGCTAGTTATCAAACATAAATAAATAAATACATATAAATATATATATATATATATATATATATATATATATATATATATATATATATATATATATATATATATATATATATATATATATATATATATATATATATATATATATGTGTGTGTGTGGTGTGTGTGTGTGTTTGTGTGCGTGTGTGTGTGTGTGCGTGCGTGCGTGCGTGTGTGCGTGTGTGTGTGAGTGCGTGTGTGTGTGTGTGTGTGTGTGTGTGTGTGTGTGTACGTGTGTGTGTGTACGTGTGTGTGTGTACGTGTGTGTGTGCGTGTGTGTGCGTGTGCGTTTGTGTGTAAAACAACATTTATTTAAAACGAAGGATAAATTGTATGTTTTAATTCGTATTATTTGCAAAAATGTGTAAACACATCTAATTTGACAAATGTTCAATCATGGTAAGCTTTACGTGGTCATAAATCATTGGACTGCTTCACTCGTGCAACGGAGTGGAAAAGTCTTATGCATAGGTTTCAATAGGGCTTGTAAGTAGATCACCAACTTCTCATTCTCGTAATTGTCAGCTACATGAACATTTTTATTAAATCGGTAAAAATATTTTTTTTTAGAAAAGCTACTTCCACTATTGTTAGATATTTAAAATTGTAAACACTGATTACAATAGACCACAACATTTAGACCGGCTTAAAGAAAAATATAGACCAAGTTAATTTCTGATTATTTTAAATAAGAGTGCAATTTGTAATTATTTTATTCAAATCCATAACATTTAGGCTACTTAATCTGATTTTATTAGTAGTAAAAAAAATAGTGTATCATTGTTGCATTTTAGGCACTCTTAGGATTTTAAAATCTTAAAGCAAGGTCCAAAAACAAAGCCGCCACATTTTCTGTCATCTATGTGAATCATGTTCAAACCTATGAATTCAGTTCGAAAATTTACATCTCTCCCTTGCTAACGAGATTTCGAACTTTAAGCGAGAGAAACCGAGATTGACAAGCCCTATTAGACATTACGATAAAATAAACCTCAAGTCGCGATAACGTTAACTCAAATAACGCTAAAGTAAGACATCATCGTAGAGTTAGCCTTACGTCAAGATAGACAGCCTCTCATCCCCATAGTCAACCTCACACTACCATAAAATCAGCCACAAATCTTTTGTGGTCTAAAGTCAGTCTCACATCAAGACACCCCGCGCTGGTTAAAAAGTGTAAACACGTCGTACCAGTCCCCGGCGACCAAACGAAACAAACTTGGTTTCTTGTAATAGATCAGCATGTACATGGTCTGGTCATCGTCCACGACTCCCTGCTCCATCCACTCGACCACCTGCTCCTGCTGCAGCCGGTACAGCTCCTGAAACGCCTCCCCGCCCCCAGCGAAAAACAGACCCTGAAGGATGTTGACGCTGATTTTGTGGAGGATGTTTTTCCTAGCCTCGAACTCTTTTACTCCCGGGGTTCGTTCAATGAACGTGATTTTGTCTGGATATTCAAATAGATTTTTGGGAATCCATAAATCATCCGATGGATAAACGTTTTTACCGTGTCCATATCCACCATCCATCCACATGAAATACGTATTTTTGAATGGATTTTCTCTTACTGTTCTAGAAAGGAGAAGAAAAAGAATAAGTGTATGTTTGATTTTATTTTGATTCAAATATTAATTTTGATCATAGACAGAATTTATAAAAGTTCTAGAAAGGTATTGCCAAGAATTCAGGCCTATCCACACAAATAAAAGATAATTAACCAGACTTCAGTAAACTACTGTTTTTTGTTGTTTTTTTTTTTTTTTTTTTTTTTTTTTGTGGTGTTTTTTCTTTACAATCAGAAATATGGCTTTTGAAACAAGAAACCTCTATGGATATTGTTCTTGCAATTAACATTAATATAGTGTGTGAATAATACTGTGATCTAACCCATACCTTTTCTGATATTTAACAAATAATCTTTAAAGGACACTAAAGGCATTACCACTTTTTTTAAATGTAGGCAAGAAGAATAATTGAATAAAAAAACTAGAATAGTGTATCCTATTATTGCAAATGATTCCATGTGATGATTCAGTTAGAACTACTAAACTGTGCTTTTTTGTATCAAGTCCGCTTTTACAAACCTCTTTCATGCTTTGAAATTGTTGCCTTTAAATGTAACAATATATCCAATTCAAATTTTAGACCAAATTTTTAGTAAAATCAAATTGCAATAAAGTATTATATTAAGTATTAAAGAAATAATTGATCTAATGGAATTTATTTGTGAAAGTTATTTACAAATAATTGAGTAGGCTTAACTGATATATATTAAAGAGTGGTTATTTCCCTTACTAGTTAGCATGTCTTTAACCCTTATGATATTCTATTTTCAAATTATTTGGTATTTTACAAGTGGCAGAGGCGTAGCGACCCTTCCCGGCGCCCGGGGACAAACTTTTCGATTTGCACCCCCCCCCCTCAAGATTTCGATTTGCCCACCCCCTCCCCAACTTTCAATCTGCACCCCCCTCAACCTTTCAATTTATTTTTCCAACCCATTTTGGCGCCCCCTAAGGTCGGCGCCCGGGACATATGTCCCCCCCCCCCCCCGCTACGCTACTGGTTCTTTTGTGTTATTTAAAGAGTACAAGAGTACTTATTGTATGTATCTTCACCGTATCGAAGCAATGGCATACAGCTAGTGTGTATATATATATATATATATATATATATATATATATATATATATATATATATATATATATATATATGGCTCCTTTTCGCGACTCGCCGATTCCCCTAACCCGAAAACCTGCATACACCTCTGAAATACGTCTGCGTTTGTGTGTCTTCAATGTGGGTGCCTTATTTCTCTCTCACTATGAATATGTGTGTGTTGGTATGTATCTAAACCAAATTAAAAATAAAAAAATTGGAAGAGTTGAATCGTCCCAAAAATGGGACGAACTGTAACAAAAATCAGGCACTGCTTGCTAAAATGGGATTTTATTAACTTATTCTTCATTCTGTGCTGAATAGAATAGCAAGGTTTTTTATTACACATTTTTTAATTAAATAAACCGCTAGTGATCTCCCCTAAACTTTCTCGAATATTCTTATATAAAACAACAGGGGATGGTAACTGGGGATATAGTTATGACTTTTAATCCATTTTAAATACTTAAACTTTTAAAAATAGAATATAATCTCATAAAAAAAACATTGCGCACCAAGCAAACGCCGAATAAAAACGCGTATAATAGTGCGCAATATTATTAGTACTTTAAAAATTTACATTAGTTTTTTGAGAAATCGGAAGTAGCGTAAATTACTACTTCCAGTCAACGGAAATTACTCAAAATTTAACAGAAGGTAGAGAATTAGATCTTTTACTTACATGTGAAATTTCATTTATCTATCTGAAATAGTACTCAAGTTATAGGCTTTTAAAAAATTCAAAGTAGGAAAAGTACCACTTCCGGTTATCGGAAATCGCTCAAAAGTTGATACGGATCTACGATTTTGATAAAATACTTATATATGAAATTTCATCAACCTAGCTGTAACGGTACTCAAGTTATCGTGTTTACACACGGACAGACACACACACAGACACACACACAGACATACGGACAGAATTGCAAAATCCAGTTTTTCAGACTGGATTACGCATAAAACCTCTTAATTTTGATAAATCTGGATGGATAATTTTTGCCCGATCAAAATAAGTCCTCTATACTTCGGATGTGATGAAGGACTGAGGTGTAATACGGTGAAAATTGTTAAAATTTCAAATGATTTTTGTGCACGATTACAATACTTTCTCTATACTTCGTATATACGAGAAAGTAAAAATAATGCTACATGATTTTTTAAATCACGTATTACCTAGGTAGCCACACTCTTCAATTTGTATTATATAATATGTGTAAATCTGCAACTGAACGAGGTAAAGCACGATAGCTATAGAGCACTTGTGAATATATTAAATTGATCGTTACCTCTCGACAAAATACAGCTTGGAGAGCTGTAGGATATCATACTCCGGCACGTAGGACTCGCACAGCTTCTTCTGGTACAGCTCATTGTCCCGCTGGTACTCGGGACTTCTCATGATCTCCGACATTCGATCTCTGTACCTGATAATGAATAATCGTGTCATAACTCAGCATATCTTTAACTGCAAACTAATTAAAATCAATTGTATACATTTAATGTACATTTTACCAATTCAAATGTAGTTAACTAAATGACTATTTACAAAAAGAATATATTCCGAATGTTTCTTTTTCATTTTCAAATTTAAAAAGCTACAAATATTTGACAGAATAGAAATGGTAAATTTATTAACTCGACTATAAGTAGTTAATTGTTTACGGTCAATGGAATTGGACCGGGAGAAAGGATGTTTCATCTCCCCAATCATTAAAAAAGTTCAGACAACAAAATAATATCAGTTCGCTAACTGATACTTTTCTTTTTGTATGGATTAAACGTAATTCATGTTATGTGAACTCGGCTAGAAGTAATGATGTACACATAAGGTACACTTAGCGAGCAGGTAAGTGTAGGAAAGCTGATGGTTAATATCCTCACATAAAATTGCATTGTCGACTTCATACAACACTCTCAAATTAAATTGTGTGAACACCCTCACACAAAACTCCCCCCCCCCCCCCCACAACTCGCCTGTAGTAGGGCAGCTCCCCCCCCCCCACAACTCGCCTGTAGTAGGGCAGCTCCCCCCCCCCCCCCCCGACAACTCGCCTGTAGTAGGGCAGCTCCCCCCCCCCCCCACAACTTGCCTGTAGTAGGGCAGCTCCTCCAGACGGACTAGCACCACCCGTGTCCGGCCCTCCCTGCCCCGCCGCATCCACTCAATGAACGGCCTGGCCTTGACGTCGACATAGACGACCAAGTTGACGTCCATCCTCAGCAGACGCTGCATGTACAGCAGGTAGATGTTGTACGGCCGGACTTGGGACGTCCACGTCCCCCGGCCAATGTCCAGCATGGCGGTCACCACAGTGAAGTTGTATAGACCTAGGGAGAGCACACACTCTTGTAAAGCACATGCGTCAATTAGTCTAACTGATATCTAGCACTGTTTTAAAATTTTCAGACCGATAAATAAATCCAAAACTAAAACAAGCTTTTTTTTTACTTTCTCGAATATACAAAGTATAGAGAAAGTCTTGTAATCGTGCAAAAAAAATCGAGAATTTGAAAATCTCGACGTTTTACAGCTCCCCGAGTCGGAAAAACGTGGTTTTGCAATCTTGTCCGTATGTCTGTGTGTGTGTGTGTGTCTGTGTGTGTATGTGTGTTTGTAAACACGATAGCTTGGGTACCGTTACAACTAGGTTGATGACATTTCATATATAAGTCTTATATACAAATCGTAGATCCGTATCAACTTTTCAGCGATTTCCAATAACCGGAAGAGGAACTTTTTCTACTTTCAATTTTTTAAAAGCCTATAACTTGGGCACTATTTCACACAGATAAATGAAATTTCACATGTAAGTAAAAGTAATTCTAATTCTCTGCCTTCTGTCAAATTTTGAATAATTTCCGTTGACCGGAAGTAGTAATTTTCGCTGTTTCCGATTTCTCAAAAAAACGCTTATGAATTTATAAAGTACTAGCCGTCCCGGCCAGGCCCTGCACTGGCATCTCTGTAAAACGAATCTGGAAAGGACCATAACTTGTGTGTTTAGTAATCAGTATTTACCAGGCATTGCCTACCCTAACCACAACCAACCAAAACACACAAAAAACGCAAACATAACACTAACACAAAACAATCACAAACGAAAACACAAAAACAACCAGAAACACAAAGAAAACACAAACACTAACGCAAACAAAAAAGCATACGAAAACAAACCCAAACTCAAATCCAAATCCAAACGCAAACACAACCACAAACGCAAACCCAAACTCAAACACAAAGAAAACACAAACGCAAATATAAACTCAAAGTGTCCACAGTCTAGCCCGGGGCGCCAAATCGCACCATGACGACGTGCAGCGTAACAGCCTGATTCAACTTAGTAACCGACTATAGTACCCAACTTATTCATAGTCTTTTGAACTCACTTACGCGAATGTAGGTACCATAGCGAACACGGGAAGGCCCGGGGTGCCAAATAACACCCTGTCGGGGTGCCGGAGGACGCCCGGATTTGATTCACTTAAAGAAAATAGTAACCTTTCTTATTCATAGTCCTTAGCATTGTTTAAAACGAAATTATGCACTATAGCGCTCACATGATAGCCCAGGGCGCCAAATCGAACCGTGGTGGGGGGGGGGGGGGGCGCCGGCGGACGCGCCTGTTTCAATTTAGTGAACAAAATTATAATACTCCAAGCTTATCCGTAAATGGAAAGAATTAAACATATAGGATTTGTAGGACCTGGCTTATTATCTGTTATTGATTTAAAAAATAATCTGTAAACAGTACGTTGAGTGTATGGAATAAATAAATGGCAGTATTAAAAATACCAACGACATTGCACTTAATCAATCCCCGCTAATTATATAATTATTTTTTTTCCTAACACCAAAACGAAGTAATAAAAAGTAAATTCTTTCTCCCCCCGATTTAATGGGTTTTTTTAAAGGGAAGTAACTGTGTTTTCCAAATCAAGGGACGTTATGAGAACTAAAGGACAAAATGCAAATACATTTCAGACACAATTTTACAAATTTTATAAACGTTGATACACTTTTTTTTAATGTTATGTAATGTTCATAATTGAAAATTATTATTCTAAGTACATAAAATGAAAATGGTTTTTAAAGACTTTCAATAGTAATTTTTAACTCATAAATTTAGACCATGAGCACTATAATAATCTAACACTTAAATCCATGGAGGTATCGATTTTTTCGTTTTTTCTTATTCTTTTGTAATCCTCGATTACAAACATTTTACAAACATACATACATACAGATTTGAACTTTATATATTAGACTAATAATATTCCGCACTCTTATGCACATTTTATTTGGCGTTCACTTGGTGTGCAATTCTTTTTTCTACGAGATTTTATTCTATTACAAAAAGTTTAAGTATTTTAAGTGGATTAAAAATCATGTCTATATCCCGAGTTGCTATCCCCTGTGGTGTTACATAAGAATATTCGAGAAAGTTTAGGGGAGATCACTCCTGGTTTATTAAAATGTTGACTGTGGTTTTAAAAGTGAAGTAGTACCAGAGCATTTTTATTTTTTAGAAATTTTACAGTTTTATTTTGTCGACTGACATTCAAACGTATGATATCATTTGAATGTATTTTATTGCTTCGGGCTGTGTATTCATATAAAAAAATTCATAAAAACACGTTTTAATAACAAGCTTTTATGTACTAATACACTAAAAAGTAGAAAATAAATTATACACTACTATTTAAATTACTATAAAGAAAAGCGTGGGTCACTTTAGTACTTTAGTACCTATTGGATACCTTTACTAATATTTGAGAAGAGACCCACGCTTTTCTTTATAGTAATTTAAATAGTAGTGTATAATTTATTTTCTACTTTTTAGTGCATTATTACACAAAAGCTTGTTATTAAAACGTTTTTTTATGAATTTTTTTTCAGTATTTTACATGTTTTATTTACAATAGTGTTACATGAATAAAAACCATTGCGCGTCTGTTGAACGAGATGGCGCAGCTATTGAGCCTGATGGCGCAGCTATTGAACGTGATGACGCGTGTGGTGTGGTTGGATAGACATGCCTACTAATTCGGTCCAAATTTTAATTAATTCATAAAAAATTAATTAGGCATCAAATTAAGTCAAATTTTGTTTCAGATTGCATTGTCTTCATGTCTTGACCCACGTGCCAACTGTGAATCGTATCGGTCAAGTAGAACTGTCCGAATTTTCGCTCCGCCGTTTCGATCTAGACAGACTGACGACAGAGGAAGTGAGTTAAATAAAAGCTTGTAAAAAATAGAAAATGAAGAAAAAAAAGATTTGTCCTGATCCTAGTCCTTTTAAAAATAAGCAAATAAAGTGCATTATTTTCTTAGCTGTTGATCTGTAATCAATTTTATTTTACCAACTTATATATTGATACTACAATTTTTAATTTAAAATAGACACATCTAACCCCACCATAGCGTGGTGGGTACCTGACTAGTGTCAGAGAAAGTAAAAGCGGCTAAGTTTACTTCAGACCACATTATCCTTCTAAATGTCGAGGTCACAGAAACAGGTGAACTCTACTTCCTGTGCACTATTGACTGCCCGGTTTGAAAGAGTAGCTAGATCGACCTTTCTCCCAGCCACAATACAATACCCCTTTCATGACTTTTCGTTTCAACCCCCTAGCTTTTGTCCTGACCCGCACAACTTTCCTCGTTTCTTTCGTCCTAATCCCTCCTCCCAAAGCTGTTCTACCTTATGTCACAACCTTCCCCCCCCCCCCTTCTCCCCACTGGGGCCAACTTCACAACCAGGGACGTTCGTTTCGGGTGAAACTATGGGGAATTTGCAACAACAAAAAACGCTTGCAAAATATTAAGAAGAAAAAAAATGCCAACAAAGTTTTAAAAACAAGCTTTCATGTAATAATGCACTAAAAAGGAGTAAATAAAAGAACTTTTCTTTAAAAATAAAATAAGAAGCCGTTATCGGCTAGGCTTTGCTCCAGCCATATACAGCCATTACTTAATTTAAATGTTAACGCAGATATGTTTGCTTGTTTACCAAACGTTTTAAGAAAATTAAAAGAGCATTGCATAAAGCTATGCTCATAGCAGCAACGCATATACTTTGACGTGGTTCTAAAAATTAACTTGCACAGCACCTGCTATCCCTCAACAACAATGTTCGTTACTATCAGAGTCAAATAATTAAACAGAAAAATGCTAGTTACTTACTTCCCCTCTACATACTCCACAGTTAATAAAATAAAAGCCACCAGTACGATAAATTAATTTTAAATAATTTTATAGAATCGCTAACAATATTAAAACGTAAGCACATAATTAAAATAAAACCTAAACTTCCACCTTTATATATTTAAAGACAATCATTTATTCTTTCCTTTTTTGTGCATTATTACATTAAAGCTTGTTACTTAACATTTTTACTTTCTCGTATATACGAAGTATAGAGAAAGTCTTGTAATCGTGCAAAAAAATCGAGATTTTTACAAATCTCGACGTTTTACACCTCACTGATACCGAAAAACATAATTTTGCAATCTTGTCCGTATGTCTGTGTGTCTGTGTGTGTGTCTGTGTGTGTGTCTGTGTGTGTGTCTGTGAGTGTGTAAACACGATAACTTGAGTACCGTTCCGTTACAGCTAGGTTGATGAAATTTCATATATAAGCATTTTATCAAAATCGTAGATCCTGATCAACTTTTGAGCGATTTCCGATAACCGAAAGGGGTATTTTTTTTTCTACGTTCAATTTTTCAAAAGCGTATAACTTGAGTACTATTTCAGATAGATAAATGAAATTTCACATGTAAGTAAAAGATCTAATTCTCTACCTTCTGTCTAATTTGGAGTAATTTCTGTTGACCGAAAGTACTATTTTACGCTATTTCCGATTTCTCAAAAAACGCATGTAAATTTATAAAGTACTAATAATATTGCGCACTATTATGCACATTTCATTTGGCATTCACTTGGCGTGCAATTCTTTTTTGTACGAGATTTTATTCAATTTTAAAAACTTTAAGTATTTAAAATGGAGTTCCCATCCCCTGTTGTTTTATATAAGAATATTCGAGAAAGTTTAGGGGAGATCACTTCCGGTTTATTATGTTCTTTTTTTTAAGCAGACCTACTTATAAATTTTTAATAAAGTCGTATTGTGGACTCAATGAAAACGAAAAATGTGCGTATAATAATGGTGCGGTAAATTGTATTTGATATAGGAAATATTTACTAATTCTTTAAACATATTATTAAAAGTATCCAATTAAGCCTAATTTGATGTCAGATTACATTGTCGTTAGTCTTGACCACGTGCCGATTTTTAGAGAAATTGGTCAGTTAGAAGTGGTGGAGATTTCGCTTGCCAGTTTCGATCGATGACGGTCGACAGACAAACGAACGACAGACAGACAGACAGTGAAAGCAAGTAAATAAAAGCTTGAAAAATGCATTTTTCAGTTTAATTAATTAATTAATTAGAGGTTGTTTTTTTTAAATGTAAGTATAAATTGACGAGGGTTGAAGTCACTTTCATGTCAATTTGCTAACTTTAGGGAAAACAAAGTTACATCCATGTGCATTAAAAAATCGACAATTTTAACGCTATCCCAAGGGGGAAATGGGTGACACCAACTTAAAACTTTGCGAAATTTGTTCTAATGAGTTATTTTAACAGTTGATACGTCAATTAACGACCGTGGACGGGAATTGAATATGAAATCAATGTTTTTTTTTAATTTAATTTATACGATTATTAATATAATATGTGCACCAATAGACGCCATTAGATAGGGTGACACCAATGGAAACTTTCACAGAATGAACAACGTGCTGATCATATTGAATTATACCGCCCAACTAAGTGGACTAGAGAGAGACCATATTGTGACATAACAAATCATTAAATCATTCGATGCTTTGACGTGACTTTAAGTAACTTATCAATGCTATATCAAGCAACTTTTTATACAACAGCCATCGATTGTGAAAGTGTTGTGTGCTTAGGGGGAGTTGTCACCAGTAGAAGAATAATTGAATATATATATATATATACATATATATATATATATATATATATATATATATATATATATATATATATATATATATATATATATATATATATATATACGACAACTGTCCTGCCCTTTTTTGTGACCCCCGCAATGTACTTATACTTTTTGTCATGCCCCCCTCCCCCCCCCCCCCCACACTCAACTGTCCCACCATTTCTCACGACCTCCACAACTACCGTCTTACCATTTGTCCCAACCCCCACAACTGTCCGCTTACCTTTCTCCGGGCCAAAGCCATCCCAAGCCATGGCCACCTTACTCTCCTCGACCTGCCACACCCACTCGGTGTAACGTTGGTAACACGTATACACTGTCATTACCATGACAAAACACAGACACGCAACAAAGATGGCCGTGAACTTCTTGTTCCACAATAGAACTAGCAGGTTGGGCGAATTCATCCTTCTTGGCCCCCGCATCTGTTCTTCAACTTTCATGCTTCAAGCTGTAGACGAATGAGTCAAGAGTTAGCCTTCAAGAGATAAATGGAATCTGTAGTGGATGTAATGAGGCGCAGAGAGTTGAAGGCGAGTTGTGCACCCTGGCACCAACGGTATGGGACGCTAAAATAAGTAAAAAATAATTACAAAAATTTCATTTGAAGCTGTGTTAGTCTCAATTAAGCAAATATATTCCTGTGAGGCATTACAGACAATTAAAAGTTTGTCTACATTGATCATACAACAACAAAAGGAGTACCACTAAAAAGTTATCAAAGGTTAACTTGGGCAATGGAAAGCTGTACAACTAGCGTGTTCCCACCAGAAAATATAACAACATTAGATCCAATGTGTTTTTATAACTATTTAACGGCAAACGAATAGATGAAAATATAGAATGACTCATTACTCTTTGTTAACAAAAACTAACAACATTTTAAAAATAACGGAAAACTAAGGAAACACCCATTAATTTGCTTATAGGAAAGCAGGGATGCATTTATATGTATCAATTTCTGTCAAGCCCTCCCTTAATATGAAGCCTTGACAACTTTAGCACTAACAAAAACTGTCACTCGAAACTAAAAATAACCCTACCCATTCGCTTAAACATAACACGAGTCAGTTTGAACGTGTTTTTCTTCCTTTTTTGCGAGCGTTAGATATTTTTCATTTTGAAAATCTCTTTTCAACGTCTTTCGTTGTGATACAATCTTGTCATTATTATAGGGGCGGGGTGCAGAACTGAAAGTTCGTCCCGGGCACCGGAACGGGTCGTTTCGCTTTTGAATGTGTGCCTATTCAATCAACGACACAGCGACACTTTTGATCTCTTGTGTGAGAGATTTTACAAAAAAAAATTGTGGACGCGACATATTAAAAAGATGCATAAAAAACGTTTCGTAACTAGCTTTTATGTAATAATGCACTAAAAAGGAGGAAAGACATGATGTACTTTAAATATATGATAATGAACTACTATTTAAATAACTGAAACGAAGGCTTGGGTAAGCTAGTAGTGATATAAACAACTATACATTGACCCTGTTGACGGGAAAATACATCTGGTGTTAGATTGACAGTGATTCTTTTTTTTTTCTTGACATAAGCCTTAATCTAAATCTGTATCTAAAGCTGGAACCGGACGTTTAACCGGAACCGAAATTTTAATGGAACAGAAAATTAACCGAGACTTGTGAGATGAACGTATATATTCATTATATTATTTACGGATGAATGCGCGGACAACTAAAAAATCTTTTTTTGGTCGACAAAATAAACAAATAAAAAAACTACCCGCACACCAGCCCACAAGAAACAATGATCCCCAAACCAAATGCCAACCCGCCCACACCTCAGCTCCTCCCTTACCAACACAACCCACTACACCACATATCGTAACCCTAAGCTCACCGCACGATTCACACTCATTCACTTATTCCACACGATTCACACGATTGACGATAACCAAGCCACACTAACAAAAAACAACGTACGGAGTAGGCTAGATTGAAACCTACACCACCTCACACAGTATGACAGCATGAACGACCACACGAACCAACCCCGAACAACCTGGACCATACGTAACCATACTCTTGGAATTCCACCCAACAACTTGAACCACAACATCGCACCCCGCAAAAAACACTCCACCCTACATAAATATATTGACAAGACCCACATACATCACACACGGAGCAGACCAAGCCCCCACATCAACACGCTCAACACCCTAGCGTTTTCCGGTATGTGTACATGCGCATTTAACAGCTTGATTCAAATCTGTGAACAGCACCGTATTATGGCAGCAAAGTTATAATCGATACCGTATTTAATGCCTTTAGTTTTCCTTTAAACCCGATATCAAAGCAATATGGCCAGTAACATTAGTGTGTCGCCTAAGATTTTAAACTTAATTTGTGTTCAAGATGACTTAAAAAATTAAAAATTACATTTATTTACCTTTAATTTGATACCAAATTTATTATTATCAAATTTCATCGGTAGCCTAGAAAATGATTTGTGAAAAACGCGTTTGTTTTTAAATGTCTATGATGATATGAACTGGAAATCAGTTTTTAAAGGAATGTTGTGACACAATTGATCATTCATTGTTGTTCATCAGAAATGTGTCTTCTGCTAGATTTCTACCTATTCAAATACACAGAGGTGTGCTTAGTTAGCTGTTGTCTCGATCAAGTTATTTTTTGAAGGTTTTGTTTTTACCCTGCATGATTTTTAAACTATTAATGACATTATTTTATTAGAAAGCAAGTTATAATTTTCTATAGTTTAGAATACTTGTGAGTATGTTTAGAACAATATTAAACAAAGCAATTCACGTTTTGCTTACTTTTATTAGGCTCTGCTCGATATTCTCAGCGATTAGACGAAATAAATGTACAAATGGCAAGTTTGCATCAAACACTAATCGTCCATTGTTAAAACTAGACCAGTATTGTTGAGTAATACGCAAAATAACGATTTTAAGTACATATTTCTGAAATGACAATGAAACATTGTTTAAAAAACGGAATCACGGAATCGTTGTTTTCGGCAGCCATCATTACCATGTCGACGGTAAAAAAAAGTAGGTCGAGCGACATGTTACTAACATCACCGTATAATCCAAACGGCTGTAAGTATAATGTGTTTTCTTGCTGATAAAGCCACGAAAACAGTAATTCTGATCGTTACATTAATCATAACCCTCTCTTATATTTAATTTAAAAATCTCACAGGTAAATATAAAATTGCGTATTTTAGTTCATTATTTTTTTCATACTCGTTAACCTAGTTAAACCGTCCCATTAAATAGCAAAAAAAACCAAGACATAATAATGATTTTAAAAGATCATAGAAATAAATTTTAAAAATATAGGGTTCAGTATCGACTACTCAGCAAATAATATAAATAATATTAACTTTAATTTTATTTTAACTATGAGCCTTAACATAATAATTATTGCTGTAGGGTAAAAAATTGAGGGTAGAAATATTTAGCATAAGTTAAATTTCTTTAAAAATTGCTAAAACATGAACATAAGGTCACTAACACACGAGAACACGAACATACGAGAACACGAACACACGAGAACACGAACACACAATAACGCGAAATCACGAGACCGATAGCACACGAGAACACGAACACACGAGATCGTGAACACACTAGAACGTGAACCACGAGAACACGAACACACGAGAACGCGAACACACGAGAACGCGAACACACGAGAACACGAACACACACACCAGAACACACACACGCACGCACACAGGCACACACACGAACACACACTCACACAAACACAAACACACACACACACACACACGTACACGTACACGTACACACAGGAATACAAAAGCCCCTGAAAGTTGTTCAGCCTGATGCACCACCGAAGCCTCATCTACCTATGTGAAGTATAAGTGTGTTCAAAACTTTGGAAATAAAAAACTAACCTAAAATATATATGGACACCTATTGTCCACTTTAAATAATTGAAAGCAAAATTATTTTCCGTTTTTTTTCATGTCGCATTAAAAAGTTTTAAATAAACTAATGTGTAATTATTGTTCTATTTTATTTATTACCTCATTCCTTATGTAATGAAATATGGTGTGTAATTTTGTTCATGAAAGCCAATAATATTCTAATAACTTACTTGGAAAAAAACAATTGTTGTAAAAATACAACCACACAGCTAAATAAAAAGGTAATCCACTTAGAGTTATCACTGCACCACACACCAAAAAAGTTGTAAAGTAAAAATAAATGCGAATCGTCTAAAATGGCGCCGGTCACGTCTAATTTCAAAATGGCTGACTGATCCGTCTAAAGCGAGTTGTATCCAGGAGACGGGTATGACGTACCTGACGTGTTGTTGCTCGGCTGCCTGCCTGCTGTACGCCTTTCAGGAGGTGGTCGTTTCTCATAGAAGTCTTATTCATAACAGATTGAATGAATATTGACGGTAAGTCGACACACGTTGGGCTGACCTGTAGGCGACCCTGCAATTCTACGGCAGACTGTATACGATCAGGGGCTCTCTCAGATATTTTCAGGTTGTACTTAAATATTCGATGTGTGCTGGGGGTCGAACACTGGTTAAAATATATGTTCTAATTTTATTTTTCCATTTTGTCAGAGCCCCGCCCTTACCCGGAAAATGTGGGGGTGGGGGGAAACTTAGTACAAGATTGGTTATCCAAACAAGAGGACAGCAGATACTAGAGACGTAGTGCCGTGCATGTCTATTACTTATATGCATATAGATATATGCATCAACATATTGACAGCAGTGTTGTTGCTTAACTCAAGCCAAACGAAATGCAACTTTATATCGGGTGTATTAGGACAATTTAACTTTTACATTTACTTTATACCAATATTTTTTTATTTAACTGAATATCTTTTTAAAAAGTTATAACAAAAAGAACACAAAAACAACGAAAATGGATTAATCAATTCCAAAGAACAGATGAATGTGTGCATAGTCATTCTCACTACACTAAACTTCCATTAACCAATAACTTCAATAATATTCTTGCCTACTAGTAGGTAAAAGTGCATCGTAACCCTTCCCGGCACCCGGGGTAAACTTTCTATTTGACGCATCAACCCCCACCCCCCCCCCCCCCCCCACCCCCCCAAGACATGCAGGTTAGAATCAGAAACGTTACAATGCATTCAAAACCAATATGGAATTCAAATGCATTGTCAAAATGTTAAACTAAGATCTTTAGTTAGATTTGAAGTCTGTTTTACTGTATGGCTCGGAGCTAGAGGGTAATAAATAGTGTAGAGCGAAATAAGAAGAGGGAAAAGTTTGTGGATAAGGGACAACCTCAGAACGATGGTCAATAACATCGCTAGCCAGATGGTGGTGTGGAATCCACGGGACTAGAGGAAGATGGGGTACCAAAATAGTTATGAAGGTAGTATATAAAATACATTAGTTTTACCTACTACAATGCACTATCAGTTCATGCCAATTCAATAATTATTTTCCAATATAAAAAAAAAACTAAAAGAAACTTGCTTTTTTTTTTATTTCTGACGCAATTTGTGTGTGTGTTATCATATAATATTTAACAAAAAGGCTAGAAATTAATGTCTAGATTTACTTTTAGTTTTTTTTTTCTTTGTAATCTATAAGTATAGGTGTGTGTGTGTGTGTGTGTGTGTGTGCGTACACGCGTGTGTGCGTGTGTGTTTGTATGTGTGTTTCTAGATTAGTTTCTGTGTAGACCGCTGATTACATTTCCATTATTGATTCTTATAACTAGGCGTAAGTATATTAGCCTGGTCTGTTTGTTACCATTTGGGATTGTGTTTATATGTCGGTGACAAGGTTGTTGTTTTTTTTTATAATTTTCTCCGGAGGGGGAGAGGGGGGGGGGCTGTCACGTAATTTTTTTATTTCCGGTAGGGGTGGGGAATTTGTCGCTCACAAATTTTCCAGGGGAAGGGTTCGGACACTATTTAAATATCAATGTTAGACATTTTTTGTCTATTTCGTCACGTAGGTGGCGGTAGACGTGATACAGTGACAGTGCCCCACGCCCCTACGGAGTGACGGCTGAAAGAAACTGTGTTTGCGCCACGATAGACTTCAATGCAGTGTTGTATCGGTGTGTCCATACACATGTGTCTAGCTAAAACCTATTCAGTTATGCAGAAGCTAAAGTTATTTTTAAAAGAATTACTTTAAATCGTCTACTGGGGTCGGGAGTCAAATCGGTGGTGGTCAAAAATAGTCGATATACTGCAGATTAATAAATCCTTTCGGTTATTGTTTCATTCTACATGTTAATAGAAAAAAATATAAATTACCCAAAGCTAGAGAGTTTAAATTTACTTTTTAATGGTACCAGTCTTATTAATATAATAGCACCTATATTATTAAAAAAAAGAAGAAGAAGTGGAAAGCTATTATATGCTTTCGCTGGACCAAATAGCGTTAAGCTCGATTAAGCAAACGTTTCTCGACGATACAAAAGTCTTTATAGACTTTTTTTTTTTTTACCCTTACCGAAAATTTGACGCTGCGAAACAGTCAAACTAGCCGTCCCCTTTCTTGTTCAACCCTCACTCAAGGTTAAGACCTCGACGAATAATACACCTGACGGTGTCGATTCAAGCTCGCGACATCCTTCAATGAAACCTTCGCGCTTGCTTTCAAAGATACTGTTTTCATTCAACTACAGTGTTAAGTCTAGCAGTGAAATAAATGCAAAGTAGTTAAATAGTCCACTCTTCTTTATTTACCGCCCCTTTCTCCACCACCTCCAACCTCATTTCATACGTAGCAGTAGCGTAGCGAGAGGGGGGGGACATATGTCCCCGGGCGCCGACCTTAGGGGGCGCCAAATGGGTTGGAAAAATAAATTGAAAGGTTGAGGGGGGTGCAAATACAAAGTTTGAGAGGGGGGTGCAAATCAAAATCTTGAGGGGGGGGGGGGGGGTGTAAATCGAAAGTTTGATGGGGGGTGTGCAAATCGAAATCTTGATGGGGGGTGCAAATCGAAAAGTTTGTCCCCGGGCGCCGGGAAGGGTCGCTACGCCTCTGACACGTAGGCAAACGTTGAGTGAACAAAACAGCATGTTGGAAAAGGCACATATAATAGAAGTCTTAGACATTGTGTATACGCTTTATAAAAGTACGAGCGCGCTTATGTTTTTTTTCTTTTCTTTAACAAAATAAATAATTGTGAAGGCTGCAAGTAATCTCACGAGAACGTAAAGAAAACTTTAGCTACCCATCTGTTTTAGAGGTTGCCGCAGTCAAACACTTTTAGTCGATATTACCGCCTCCATATTGGTGGCGGACTAGAAATAAAAAGCCCACCCCCTAAAAAGCGTACCCCCCCCCCATATATGACTCCCGAACCCACAGTTATCCAAAGATAGCGGGTAGTATAGCTAAATTTACAGCTAACAGGTGGGGTTTTTTTTTAATGCAGGACCAGTGCATGACCTGGCTTAGACGGTTAGTAATTAAAACAAATACAATTACTAGATTGACACTGTATGTATCAGTTGTTTCACAATGTAAAAGATCATTTGAAGCAAACGTAGCTCTATTTGCTTATTAAGTTATAGACGGAACCAAAAAAAAAACATCACGCCACATCAAATTATATATATATATATATATATATATATATATATATATATATATATATATATATATATATATATATATATATATATATATATATATATATATATAGACACCAACCACCAATAAATAAATCTAAAGTACACCATTGCTTAAGACTATTATTAGATGTATTTATAGTGTTTTATGCTGTAAGCACAGAGGAACTACGATGCTGTCTTCTCAATCTCCATCGTCTCATCTAAACTATACACCATTATTATTGTCAACATACAAGCTCAGCTTTACATTGGCCAGAGAAGATTGCAAAGGTTTTAGTATCCTGATCTGTCTGATCCTTTGATTCTCAGCTTTGTAGCATTCCTGTCCCACCTCTCTCTGAACATCTACCCACCAACATCATTTGTCCATCAAATTTATACCCAAAAAAAAAAATTAATTAAGATTTTAAGCTCCATAAGTTAGGCTTCTTAACATTCTTTATATATTTTTTTCATTATTCTGTTTGAACATGTAAAACTGTGATAAATAAATAATATTAATTACTAGCCGTCCCGACCAGGCCCTGCTCTGGCTTCTGTGAAAAACCTCTCTGTTAAAGACCATTACCTGTGTGTTTAGTAATCATCATAAACCCGGCATTGCCCACGCAAACCACAACCAACCAAAACCAAAACAACAAAACGCAAACATAACGCTAACACAATTACAAATACAAACGAAAACAAAAACCTAACAACAAACCCAACCACCACCACAAACACCAATACAAACACAAAGAAAAAACAAACAAAAAAGCAAACGAAAACAAAAACCTAACAACAAACCCAACCACAACCACAAACACCAATACCAACCAATAACAACACAAAAAAAACGAAAAGGCAAACGAAAACAAACCAAATCCAAACGCAAAACCAACCAAAAACACAAATACAAACCCAAAGAAAAAAACACAAACAAAAACGAAAAAAAGAAAGAACAAAAACGAACCAAATCAAACCGCAACCACTAACTCAAACCCAACCTAAACACAAAGAAAACACTAACGCGAACATAAACGCAAAGTGCTCACAGTCTAGCCCGGGGCGGAATCGCCTGTTTTAGCTTAATAAACGACTTTAGTACCCCAACTTATTCATAGTCTTTTGCACTCACTTAAACGAACGCGCCTGTTTCAATTTAATGAACAATTATAATACTCCAAGCTTATCCGTAAAATACCTACAACATTTGCACTTGATCAATCCCCGCTAATTATGTAATTATTTTTTCCCAACACCAAAACAAAGTAATAAAAAGTAAATTCTTTTTCACTAATGCAATGGTTTTATAAATGGAAGTAATTGTGTTTTCCTAATTTATCAAAGGGAAGTAAGTGCTATAGGACTAAATAAAGATGATATTTTTTTTAAAAAAAACGTGTGTTTACTGAACATGCCGAAAATTATTACTTTCAGTTTGATAAATGAAAATTATTTCCCAAAACTTTCAATATTAATTTTTTAACTCATAAATTTAGACCCTAAGGACTTTAATTATCTAACACTTAAATCCATCAAAGTATGTCAACGACAAACAAACTTATTACATACAGAATTGAGCTTTATATATTAGATTTTAAATATCAACTAAAATTTTAAAAACTATATAAAAACATAACAATTTTACTTTC